AGTCAGCTACGCTGGGTGTATGTGAAATAGGTCTCAGCTCCACATACATTTTAAAAACTGCTCCCCTACAGCTGGGCACGGTGGCACATGCCTGTAATCCCAGCAACTCAGGAGGCTAAAGCAGGAGGATCACAAGTTTGAGACCAGCCTCAGCAACTTAGAGAGGTCATCAGTAACTTAGCAAGATGCTATTTCAAAGTAAAATATAAAAAGGACTAGGGACATTGCTTAGCGGTAAAGTGTTTCTGGGCTCAATCCCCAGCACCCAAAATTAAAAACAAAAACAAAAACAAAACCCTGCTCCTCCAAAAAAAGACACATTTGTAGGGCAAACTTTGGGCAGGTAATGAGTGATTCACCTGAATGTGACTCTGCTGCCCTCACTGTCTTCAAGGATGGGACTGGCCCTCACCGCCATACATATCTCTCCATGAGACACCATGTGGTCCATGGGATGTGTTGGTGGTGAAAACTCCCAAATATCTCTGGCCCAGACCATCATGAGATTTTGAATCCATCTTCACTTTGATGTCCCCACCAGGCCTCTCAATCTCACCATGTCTCAAACACAACTCACTATTTTCCCCTAAATCTGCTCCTTCTCTTGCATGTACATGGCCCCACCATCATTCATCAAGTCTGTGGGTTGGTCTCAGAAAACAATCCTGAGCCACCCTGGCCTTTCCCCTCTTCTGCAGCCTCTACATCTAAGTAATTATCAAGGCTTGTCCATGTTAGCATCTAAATGTTTCTCAGATCATACTTTCCCTACCTGCTGTTACTCTAATGAGAACTACCATCACCTCTCTCTGAAACGACTGCAATACCCACCTGCCTGTCTCCCTGCTTGTACCCTTTTCATCCATTCTCCATGTACACTTATGGGGAGCTTCAAACACCCATATCTGAGCACATCATTCTCCCGTTAATAAACCCTTCAGTGACTACTGATTGCACTCAAGAGAAAGCCCCCTTACCAAACTTATCCCTCTACTCCTCCCAATACCAGCCCCACTCAGTACCCCATGTCTTGGTGTTTTTGCTCTCACCAAACCTCCTGCATAAACTGTCCTCCATGTTCCTCTCTAGATCTACAATTCTTGACACCTCTCTAGGACCTTTCCCTTGGGCCAGGCCCTGTGCTGGGCACTACTGATATCAGGATTTCATCTCCCCAGAGTACCAGAACTACAACTCCCTTCTAATTGGAAACTGCCAAATGACAGCTGTTCACAAGAGCTGGGGTTAGAGGTAAACTGAGGTAACCAGTGTTTGTGTGTATGTGGGTGAGGGATTGATTCACTCCCTTTATCTTAGATCCCATGTCTCCCTTCTGGGCTGAGAGTAAACTGTGGGAGTTCCATATAAGGTCCTGGGGGGGGGCAATGAATTCTCCTGGCCATAAGGATGCTGACTCACTGTAGGACCATGGCTAAATCACTGCCTCTCTAAGCTTCCACTGCCTCAACTAGAAATTGGGCTTGGATAGTGGTTTCCAACTCTAGGCCATGCATCATAATCACCTGAGAACCTTTTAAAACTTGATCCCTGGGTTCCAACCCCAAGACTCTGGAACTCTGAGTTTGAGTCTGGGAATAGCTTTTATTTCTTTTTATGATAAACAAGGGATTCTGATGCTCACTCAGTTTGGGAGGCCCAGAACCAGACAGTGTCTAGGGTCTTTACCAGTTCCACTATTTTTTCAGTGGTAGGGATGGAACCAAGACCTCACACATGCTAGGCAAGTACTCTACAACTGAATTATACCCTTAGACCCTCCCCAGACTCCAAATCAGAAAGATCCAACCTTTCCTGCTGTCTCCCAAATTGGCTGTTTCCCCTACTACCCGCAAAAAGGCTCTAACAATACATGCAACTCTTTTGAGCTAGGTCAGGCCCTGAGTTCCCCCAAACCTCCAGTATTTGGAAGAACATTCTAGACATCAACCATGGGAAAAAGGATAGGATTCTCTTAAATCCCTATGAGCAAACCTGTACCCTTCCCAACCCTCTCAAAGCCCCTGTGGCAACTCACTGGGTTATCCCAGCGACCCAATTGAAGCCTTAAGTTTTATCAACCTGGAAAATGGGCATAATAACTGTCCCTTCCTTCACCAGGAATCAGATAGGACAGCTAAAAGAGAAAGGACTTGGAAGCAATTCAAGGCTTTTCATACAGATAAGATATAATCATTATTTTTAAAAGCCTCCCCCCCCCACAGGCCTAGGCCACTGGGCCCTAAGGATGGTGATTCAATAAGGCCTCAGCAGTGTAAGGGAGGAAGTCAGCAGGCACACTGAAATCTTAACATGTGGATTAAAATGTTTCAACCCTTTAATTGAAGTTCAGGAAACCCTCTCTCCCCCTCTTACACACACACCCTACAACCACCAACCCTGCCCTCTTTGGGCCAATTATAGGCTAGTCCGGTGGAGAGAGAAGCAAGTCACTTGTGCCTACCCCTGGGCTGGCTGGGCAGTGGGGGAGGCGGGCCTCTCACAACCCATGCTACTGTGAATCACATGGCCCAGCACCCGCCTTGCCAGTGCTTGAGTAATTCCTCCGCCTCCTCTTCAAAAGGTTTTCCTCTCTTCTTATTATTTTCTTTTTTTTAAAAACTCCTGGTTACTGAGGGTTTAAACCATGCTGCAGGCTTTGCAACCAGTACCTCACAGACTCCTCATGGCATTCTCTAGACAAGGCAATTGAGGCTCAGAAAAGAGAAGTCAGTCACCTGGGGTCACACAGTGAGTCAGTTATGAATGTTTGGATGGGAGACCAGGTCCCTCCCTGATACCCTTCTTATGCCCAATCCTCACTTAAAAAACAAAACAAAACAACAACAACAACAACAAAACACCCACTATGCAATTACAGAGGCAGATACTTCACTTGGAAAAATGATCTTGGGAATGCTGTGCTGCTTTTGTGGTGGGGGGTGTGTGGGGTGTGGGATGGGGGGGGGTGGGGGGGATTTGGAAAAATCAGACAGGTCAAGGACCAGGGGTCTAGATGCTCCCAGCTACTAACTCTCAGACCAAGAGTATATGGAGGGCAGGAAGTCAGGGTCCTTCTCTTAAGCTATAGTTATGAGGACCTATGTGCTCACGTAGTATCTGTTCAGGCATTTGTTCAACAAAGATTTATTGAGCACTTTCTGTGTGCCAGGCACTATGCTAGTCACCGGGGATACAATAGTGAACAACACAGACACAATCCCCTTGCCCTCATGGAGCTCACATTCTAGTGGAGGAAGATGGGCAATAAACAAGTAGACCACACAATAAGGTGATTTCAGATTGTATTAAGTACAAGGATGGGAAGCATACTGGCAGCTGTGATAGAGACTCACAAGTGGTCCTACCTAAAGTGGTTAGGAAAGGTGTCTTGGAGGAGGTGACATCTGAGCTGAGACCCAAAAGATGAGGAGCAAACTAGGTGGAGGACTAGGGGAAGAGCTAGCTACAAGGCAGAAGGCAAAGCAAATGCAAAGGCCCTAAGTAGGGTGGGAGTGCTCGTGGGTGTTTTGGGATCTGAAAGAAGAAGCTACATTAAAGTATGAGTAGCCCCCTCCACACAGCATCTGTCAAGGGGAGCTTGGAAAACCAGCAGAAGCAACAAGCAGGGTAGGGTGTTAAGGGCCTGTTGTCAGACTGGCTATCTCCAGTCCACAAGGAGGGAGTTCTCTGAAATCTCCCAGAGGCTCCATGACTAGCCCAAGGTCATGACAGCCCAAGGGGCTCATCCTTTCATTGTTTTATGCTTCACTAGTGCTACCTGGTGCTGGCTACCATCCCAAAGACCTGTGGAGCCAGATGTGAGTCCTGAAAGCCCTCAGGCTCAACAACTCCTTTAGTCCCAGTGGAAGGCAGAGCAGATGTGCACTGCTCTTTCTCCATGGCTCCTGAGCTTAGGCCCAATGAGAATGTCCCCATATGGAGGAGGCCTGCTGGGCTCCTCAGACACTTAAGGCTGTGCAGTTCACAGGCCTCTTCAGGCAGTAGTCTGTGGCCCCAGCCTGACTTAGAGCTGCTCCACCTCTGCAAATCTGAGCAACCATTCTGATTTATCCCCACAAACAACCTCATGGCCCACAGCTTTCTAGCTCTGCTACAACTGGTTTCTGCCCTTCTGACCTTTCTGCTGTCTCCCTCAACCCACCTCTCAAGCCCTTCTCCTCCAGTCTGACCCCCAAGACCCACATCTTCACCTTTCTCTCTCATCAGCACCTTCTGCTCCTCCCTTCCCTTGTCCTCCTACCACACACACCTGGCACAACCCCAACCTTGGATCAATCCACCCGTCCCTCTTTTTTTTTTTCCACTCATACTCCAGGCCTGCTGAATAGTACAGGAGAAAATCACATAAGCAGAAGGCTTGGCATTACTTTCATGGTCTCCAGCCTGAGTTTGGGATAGTGGAAAGACCATAGACTTTGGACTCAGATCTGGTTTTGAATTCAGATTCCATAGTGGCTGTGCGACCTTGGGCAAATTATTTAACTTCTCTGAGTCTCAGTTCCCTCCCTTCCAACAAAATGGGGCTAACATATCTACTTAACAGAGGGCTCCTGAAGGTGAAATGAGAACCTATGTTAAGCACCCAGTTCCGTGCCTTGCACAATGTAGGCACTTGGCTAATGGGAGACTCCTTTACTCCCATTCCCCCAACTAAACTCCCCCAACCAATCCCCACTTCTGTCTTGCAATACTGTCTCTGTTTCTTGAAGTGCTTCCTCTCCCATTAGCCTCAACAGATAGAAGAGAAAGGGGTCGGCAGGGTTGATGGGCACCAGGGACAGAAAGAAGAGTCAGGGAACAGAGGTTGAAAGGACTGGACAGGAGGTGGAGGGATAAGGGGAGGGAATTGGGGTTGAGGGGACCCAAGGAGTCAGGGTGAGCGGGCAGCCCTGAGGTGGGGCTTGGAGAGCCCGAGAACAAGAACCCGCTCCCAGTACCAGGCCTTTGGCCCGAGCTCCCATGCCTTCTTGATCACTCACCAGGCCGAGGCTGCGAGCCCTCCAGGTGGTAGGAGAAGCGCAGGGCCCGGTGGTGCTGTGGACTGGGGCCGCAGGGCAAGACCCGGGGCCCTGGAGCAGGACCCAGGTTGGTGTCCGAGGGTCCGGCAAACTGGGGATCCAGTGGGCCGCCAAGAGTGGAGCCTGAGCCTCTGCGCACGGGTAGTCCGGGCTCCGAGGTTCCAGGGTCCGAGTCGGCACAGGCCAATGGAGCTGCGCCTGGGGGATTCGTGGCCGGGTGTTGGGGATCCGAAGGCCCGGCGCCCCCCGGGACTCGGTGGCCATGCATGGTCCGGGCCTGGGCGCGGGGCCCGGGCTCCCCGCTTGGCTCCAGCTCCTGGGGCGGAGGCGCGGGCGGAGGAGGCCCGGCGCCCGGCGGAGCAGCGGCCTCAGGCTCGGGGGGCGGGGCTGCGGGCTCAGCCCCACTGCGGAGACTGGAGCCCCCGGCCCGGGCCGGGGCCAGCAGCTGTGGCAGCGGTGGCAGTAGCAGCAGCAGCCGCGGCCACCGCCGCTGCCGTGCCAGGCATCGCCGGCCCTGGCCCCAAGCGGGGAGTGGGCTCCGCGGGGCTGGGGGCCCGCTGGGGAGCGCTGTCTATGCGGCTGCGGCTGGGCAAGGGTCGGAGGGCTGCACTCGGCGCGGGCTCTCCACTGGACTGCGAGCCACTTCCGTGGCCCCGGGGCGAGCGGCCAGTCGGATCAGAGTGCGGGGTCTCTTCTTTCTCCTCAAATGGGAATCGATCTGGGCTCTCTTGGCTGGTCGGAAAGGGTTCTTCCTCCCGCCGCAGCGGAGGCTGGGGGCGGAGAAGAGGGAAGGGGAGGGTAAGGGAGGGAAGAGAGGACGGCGGTGGCCTGGGGGCGCGCGTGTGCGCCGCGCGCTCCGGCTGCGGGGCTCTCCTTCAGCCCGTCCTCCGGACGATGCTCCAGCCGCGGGGGGCAGGGAAACTGCCTGGGCCGGGCTCCACCGTCCTCTCCAGCCTCAGCCTTGGTCTCCGCAGCGGCGGGCGGGAAGAAGCCCTGGGAAGGGGGATGGGGAGGCGGGGGCCCGTCCCTGAGGCAGCCCAGCCGCAGCCACAGCGGCGCTGGGACCCAGTTACCGGGGCCCGCCCCCTCGCCCGGGATTTGCGCTTGACCACGCCCCCTCGTCGGTCCCGCCTCACTTCTCGCAGCGAATGCCTTCAAGGCCCTCCTCCTACCCCTTAAAATTTCTCCCTCAGTTTGCCTTCTCTATCCCTCAGTGTTTCCACACCGGCAAATCTCCTGGCACCATCCTCTAAATCTGTTCTTCCATCCCATGTCAAGTCTTCTTCCGCTCGCCTATCGCTCTCTTCCAGAAGCCTTTCCACATGTTCCAGAGTTTCCCTAGGGTTTGGTCATAGCTGGCCTGTACTCTTCACTTTGCTCAGACCAGATCTCATGGTCTTTTACTTTTCAGCTCTCTTACCAGTAGCCTCAGTTCCCTGATTTGTCGCATGGGCTTGGCAACATCCCAGTCTTGAATCCGTCCAACTGTCCGCCTTTTCCCAGGCAAGAAAACATTGCTGGCAAAAGCTATTCAACTTTACAGACGTGTGCCATTATAAACCCATATTTCCCAGCTTCTATGACGTCTTCAGTGCTGACCTATAACCCTACTAGTCAGCTCTCATGCGCCCGCCCGTCTCTCTCTCTCTTTCTCATTCTCCTCACCACTCCCTGATCATCCCTCTCTCCCATTCTTCACGACGGCCATTTCAAACCTCCTCTCACCTGGCCCCCTATTTCTCCATCAGCCTTCTAACCCTTAGCAGATGACCCCATCTCCTACTTCACAGAGTAAACAAAAGCCACCAAACATGAAGTTCTTGACTTTTGCCACCAAGCCTAGGAATCTGCCCCTTGCTCCTTCCCGTTTAAGCATACTCAGGTCTCATCCATCTAAAAATTAATAAATGACTACCAAAAATTCTTTCTCTCCAACCATCTCCTTATCTTCTCCTTTCTACAAACTTCTCAAGAGAGTTGCCTACCTCAACTGTCTTCATTTCCCCACTTTCCACGTATCTTTGAACCCACTCCAATCTGCTTCCGCTTCTTGCCTCTTACCAAGGTCTGCCATGGTTTAAGTCACTAACTCCAATAGAATCTTCATTTTCTTTCTTCCTCTCCCTCTCTTTCTCCTTCTCCTTCTCCTTCTTCTTTGTACCAGGAATTGAACCCAGGGGGACTTAACCACTGAGCCCATTTTGTTTTTTTAAATTTTGAGCCAGGGTCTTGCTAAGTTCCTTAGGGCCTCCCTAAATTGCCGAAGCTGGCTTTGAACTTGAGATCTTTCTGTCTCAGCTTCCCAAAATGCTGGGCAATAGAATCTTTTCAGAGGTGATCCTACTTGGCTTTTAGGTAGCATTTGGCACTGGGGACCACTCCCTCTTCCTTAAACCACTTTCATGACATCATATTCTCCTTATATTTCTCCTACTTCCTTGGTAATTCCTTTTTATTTTCTGAGCTCCTCCTTGTCCAACCCCTAATGTTGCTATTCTTTAGGGCTGTGATCTAAGCTCCTGTCTTTCTCTCTTCTTTCCTTCAGTTATCTCATTTGCACTCATGGCTTCAATTATTATCTCTGCTGATTACCCCTAAACTGGTAACCCCAAGTTCAAATGTTTCTTCTGACTCATGCATTCCATTGGCTATTAGACAGCTTTACCTGAATATCCCAGAGACACCTAAAACCTCAGCTTGTTTCCAACCCCAGGTATCCTCCTCCAAACTGTTTGTCCTTCTTGGCACCTTATATTAGTGAATGACCCCAGTGAAAGAAGAAACCTGAGGTATACCCCTGGCTCTGCTTTTTCTTCTAGCCCCCCATGTAATTATTAAATACTTGTCATTTAACTCCTTAATATCTCCCAAGTCTATTTATGTAGACTCTTCATTTTGAAAAAAAAAATTTTAGTTGTAATGGACACATACCTTTATCTTATTTATTTATTTTTTCACGTGGTGCTGAGGATCGAACCCAGTGCCTTACATGTGCTAGGCAAGTGCTTACCACAGAGCTACAACCCCAGCTCTAGGCTCTTAATTTCTGATGACACTATTCTGGTTTAGACCAGCACCATTTCTAACCTGCAATACTTCTGCAGCTGCCCTGGTTCATTTCTGTTCTTTGAAATCTATTCTCTACACTATAGGCAATGTGTATCTTTTGAAAAGGCAAATCAAATCATATTACTCCTATGTTTAGAATCTTTCAGCAAGTCCCAACTGACTCAAAAGAAAATCTACCTTCCTTAACTGGGAAGGTTAAGCTGATCCCTTCATCATCTGGCCCCCTGCCAGCCTTTCCAGACTACATGCTTGAGTCAAAGCTGAAATTCTTAGACTTTCCTTAGCCTTATAGCTTCTGAATCTTTGCATATGCTGTTGCCTCTGTGTGAAACTCTCTCCACATTTCCTTAATTCCCCTTCATTTGTTCTCCAAATCTCAGCTCATTCAATGAATGTCTTTTGAGCACACACTATGGGCCAGGCTCCATGTGAGACACTATGCAGTAGTAAGTCAGAGATGAACAAGACAGTGGTGAACAAACTCTTTCCTCAGAGTTTATAGCCCGGTATTGAAGAGAATGTGAAATATACAAACATAGTTATAACACATAAACACACATAATTACAAAATGTGATAAGGCTATAAAGGGACAAAACAGGGTGATAGGATAGAAAAAAGAATAATGGGGTTGGGTGATTTAGTCTGAGGGGTCAGGCAAGGCCTGATGTTTAAGCTGAGACTGAAGGAATGGGAGTCAGCAGAGGAAGGGTGAAGGCAAAAATGTTCCAGGCAGTGGACGAAACAAGTAGGAAGGCCCTGGGGAGAAAGAGAAATGATATACAATTGCTCCTCTGTTGCATCCACTGATTCAACCAATTTCAGATCAAAAATATTTTGAACTGGGTGTGGTAGCACACACCTGGAATCCCAGTTACTTGGGAGGCTGAGGAAGGAGGATCACAAGTTCTAGGTCAGCCTGGGTAAACTAGTGAGCCCCTATTTCAAAATAAAAATTTAAAAAAGGGCTGCAGATGTATCTCAGTGGTGGAGCACTTGTCTAGCATGTGTGAAGCTCTGGGTTCACACTCCAGTCTCTCTCTCTCTCTCTCTCTCTCTCTCTCTCTCTCTCTCTCTGTCTATCTATATATATATATCCTGAGTGTGTGTGTGTATGAATGAAAAAATTGTGCCTGTACCAAATGTGTACAGATTTTTTATTGTTGTTATTCCTTAAACAGTACAGTATAACAATTATTTACATAGCATGATGTTGCATTAGCTGTTATAAGTAATCTAGAGATGATTTAAAGTATATAGGAGGATGTGCATAGGTTATTTGCAAATACTGTGCCATTCTTTTGTGATGGGGTCTGCTTTGTTAACCAGGCTATGCCATTTTGTAATAAGGGACTTGAGCATCTGCAGATTTTGGTATCCATGTGGTGAGGGTCCTGGAACCAATTGTCCAAGTATGCCAGTGGACAACTGTATTTAGGAGCTATAGGAAGGCTAGTATGATTGGAACATAGTCAATGGTGAGAGGGGTGGGATATGAGGTTAAAGGAGTCAAATTATTTAGAGCTTTATAGGACATGGTAAGGAGAATGGATTTGAGTCTACAAGCATTGGAAAGGTATTGAAGCAATGATTTTACATGCGGATCCCACTGAAGAAGGTACTGTAGTCAATTTGAGAAAAGAATAGAAAGTGTTAGAGTTTATCATAGAATTATGTAGGAAGGATAAGTATGTTCCATGAAATTCTTCACTTTGTGTCATATGTAAACAGAATCATAAGAAATTAGAATCCCTTTTGTAGGTATTTCATATCTAAAACCTGATGAGATACACTTAAAAATTAAGTTTTTAACTTGGGGTTGACATCGTTGCTGTGGACTGGATTGATGGTGGACAAGATTAGGAACTCATTGCAAATAAAGATAATGGTGAAAATAGTGGCATTTTAGATAGGGAGAGGTATACAAATTTAAGAGAGATTTAGAATTGAGAGGATATGGTGTAGAGGCTTGGAAAGGGAGGTGGGGAGGGAGAACTCAAGAATGATTCTCAGGGACTGCAGATGGTGGAGCCAGTCCCTCATTGAAGTGAGAAAAATAGAAAGAGGAACAGGTTTTCTGGGGAAGAGCAAGAATTAAGTTTTGGATATGTTAAATGGGACATACTCTTTTGACATCCGCATGGAAAAGTCAAGTATGTGGTGGTATATTCTAGGGAAGTGGTCTGGTTTTTGAATATAAA